CCCACCCCGGGCTGGTGTGTCAGCCGGCCTTTGTTTCAGGGGCAGGGCAGGCGCGGAGATCGGCCCGCTCGCTGCGGGTGCAGCGAACAGCTGCCCTTGCGGCCTGCCCAGAAAGAAAGGAAGTCGTCTTATTTCGTAATTTAAAAAAAAAAAAAAAGGCAAAAAAGGCTTAAAAATTCCTATACATTTCTTTTAAAACCATTTGAGAGTGTCAGGACGTTTTCAATATACTCCCCTCCTTTAAATTACAGTACATTAACTTCCGGGATATTTTTTTCCCCCACACTACATGTACTCAGTAACTTTTACAACAGCCCGATCCTTGTCTATGTTGTTACACATTTAGCTCGTTCCCCCCCTGCCCGGTCCAACTCCTCTTCCTTCCAATACATAGCACACAGCTCCCTGTCCTTGCACAGCCCATGAAGCAAGAACTGGACCCTATTTTTGGGACCATGTACTCGGCTGCTGTAACCTACAGCATCCTGATCTGGAATACCTGGAAGGAGCCAGTTTAGCTGGAACAATTACTATTTTATTAGTAGAAAACAGGACTAATAAAAACCTCCTTGTTGTACGTGAGCTCTGCATGTATCCTACCCTGCATACCTTTTATAAAATTGCTTGGCTGAGAAGAAAAATAAAAAGACTTTTTTCTTTATATGCTGTCTGAAGCTATTACAACAGACACCAAAAATGATCCTGTTACTAAAGTCCGTGTCTCATCACCAAAGCTCAGAAACTGCTCACCGAAATCACTATATTTGCTTTGACAATACATATAATCTTCTAAACACAGCCTTGAAAATTAGTGATTTGGTTTTGTTGAAAAAAATGTCTCCACAAATCAGCCAGAATATGGTTAAAATCTGTTTAAAGTTAATCTTACACAGGGAAGTGTTCAACAGTTCAACTGAAGTTACTATTAAATTCAGCATAAATATATAATATAAACCAGTTTCTCACTCCTTTGCCATTACATAAACAGGCAATAACTAGCAGAGATAAGGATAACTATTAAAAAGTATCGTCCCCTTTCATGTATTCCCCCCCCAAAAATAACATCTCTGTCAACCTGTAGATTAGTATTTATATTTTTCCACTTGGATCCAAAGCATGTAAGCATTTGACAGTCACCAGCCAATTACATTAGTGCTCAAATATTACTAATACCTGGAGGACATTCCAGCTGGCTTGACTGTCAACAACTAGGGGTAGAATTGTTCAAATGTTAATTTTATTCCCTTTCAGTCTAGCTGCAATCCTTTCCTTGTCTATTGCTCAGACAAGATATTTCACCCATAAGCCCTATGTTCCAGCAATCTTTTCCTTTGCTAAGAAGGAAATCCTGTAGTGAAGGGGGTTTACAAACTACTGCATTTCTAGGAAAGAGGGGGTTTTTACATTATGGATAATGTCAGGTTTGGAATCACAGGACTGCAGCGAGGGCAAATCCTGTGACAGTTAAGTGCATTGGCTTCTAGGACTACTACCCTGAAACTGTATCTCCTCTTTGTTTGAATAAATTTTTTGTTTGTTTTGTTGATTTTTGTTTTCTTTTTAAAGGATATGGTTTATTTGCTGCATTTATGCCTGGGTTGTTTTTTCCCCCTGCTTACTCTCTCCCTAACCCGTCAAGCTTATTCTCAAAACATATTTAAAAAAAATTAAGGAGGACTTAAAGAGGTGATGGCTACAAAAGGACAATACTCGTGGAGCCCCCAACCTGTCATTTCGTAGGAAGTGGCCATCGAGTCACAAAAAAAAATGGAAACAGCTATGGCTTGGAGCATGAAAATCAACATATGTAGTCATCATGTACTTTTTCAGAAGATAGGCTAAATAACCTCTGTCACTTTTGCCGTGCAATGGAACCCGCTTTCTCTTCCAGGGATCACCCTGCCGCTTCCCATCAGCATCAGCAGCAGCATCTCCGGAGGGACGTGCCGAGTCCTGTCATTTCCCCCACGGGCCGTCTGGCGACGATAATCCACGAGAGGATTGTTCCACCCAAGCGGCTGCGTCCGAGTCAAACGTCGGCAACAGGCGGGGAAACCCAAACCTGTTGAGGCAGACATCTGCCCAGACGGGAGGAATCGGGGTGACGGCCCCGAAGAGGGCGAGGTGGGGGTACGTCCTTTGTGCCGGCAGAAGAAGTCCATGGGCTGTGCGCCTGTGATGGGAGGCCCGTTCGGCCACGGTGATGGCTGGAAGTTCGCAGGCCGCCCTGCCGATGCCGGCCACCGCGGGCCTGGGGCTGCGCTGCTTGCAGGGGTGCCTGGTCGGATTAGCCGGGCGGCTGCTGTAGTGGATGCTCAAGCTGGACGGACAGGCCTGCCAGGCAGAAACTGCTCAGGCAGATGATGCTAGGGAGGACAAAAATTACCCACCGCAAGACTAAGAAGACAGATGACACCCAGCAGGAACAGCAAGCCAAATCTGCAGAATCCACAACGCAGCTGGCTAGCCCGAGGCGACCTGCCTCTTTGAAGTGGAAGAGACATCACCGACGAGTTGTCAAATTAGATCACCAGCCTGGAAACACTGAAAGAGATTTAGTTCTTCCAACAGAGAAGGGAAAGTTTAATAGAGGAGAATCTTCCTGAAGGGGCCAAGGTAGTGTGGAGGGGGGGAAAGGGGAATCCTTCAGATGCAGCAACAACGAAAAATTACTCACCTCCTGCCTGCCTGCAGAGTGAGAGGCAGGACACGTGGCATTCTGCCGCAGCCGAGGTGGCTGCAAGTCACTACCAGCATGGAAAATAAAGGCCACGCCTGCAGGAATGTGCAAAGCGCAGCAACAAGTAACCCTTGCTACAAAAATCATCACCCCAAATCTGTGATACCTTTCTCTGTCGCCCTGGAGCTGGGCTCTGAAGTACTTTGTGACACTCAGTGGTGGGATACAAAGGCCTAGCCTGAACCCAAAAGCTCAGCGCAGCAGAGGCACATGGTAGCATCTCCCCTCACGCATCTTTTGCAATAAAATTCATGCACGAAAAATGTGCAAAACACAATTCAGTTTCAAAAAATCTGAAAAAAAAATATTACCAAGTGAGTAAGCACGTTCTCAGGTATTTGGCGAATATGAAGCCTCGTGTCTCCGTTAGGGACAACAGCAGCACGATCCAATTATAGATGCAAAGTAGAAACACCGCTCTTAGGGGGAAAATATTAAATGCATTAATCCATTAAGCAGCTGCATCACTGCCATTACACTTTGAAGTTACAAGACCGTGAAAACCATCAAAAATTAAAAGAAGTGATAAGACTGAAAACCAAAAGGAAAATCAAATAGGCCTGCAGATCCCTCTTCCTAGCAAAAAAAAAAAGAAAAAAATTACATACAAGGCTCTGCATACACATAAAATTATAAAATAAATTAACTTTCATAAAGTAAAAACACTTCTAAGTCACATTTTAAAATAGATACTACACAGTGTCTTACTTTAACTGCAAAGTACTAATGTCCATCTTAAGTATCAGTCTCAACTCCCTGGTAATAACCCAGGATCCGCAGACAAACTGAAGAGTTCAGATGACTTTTTCATCAGCTACAATTATAACGGAAATAAATGGGTGTGTGTATGAGAGAAAGAAACTGAAGAATTATTTTATCAAGATACTTCAAAGACCTGTAACACCTACTGGTAAGTTTAAGATGTACCTTACAAAAAGATGAACTCCCTATTTCTAGGCCTATGTTCTTCCAATGATTTGGACAGTAGTAAGAAATTCCTGGGAGAAGGGTTACTTTCATTTAAAAATATTTTGAAGAGGCTGGGGTAGGTTATAGAGAAGGAATGTATGGAAAAAAGGATTAAAAATATGTGAAAATACCACCTCTTACAGGCAAGCAGCTAAGATGCTACCTAGGAGACTTCACTGTCCAAATGTTATCCATTCTACCCAAAGAATCTCTGACAGTACAATAGGGGCAAACCTCTTGAGAACAAGTGCTTACTGTGGGTGGGCATTGAAGAAATGTAACAGAACTTGCTTGATTGGACTGTTTTGACTGCTAACTGGAAGTGGTATCATCTAACTTGTGGAAAACTGGGATGCCAACCTGGTAGGTTAATCACTGATAACACAAAAGGAACTTGATGAAAAGCATGTTTTATCATACTAAATCGTTTACAGTTTTTTCTGCTGAAAAGCCTATACTTCAGTTCCACCTGAATTGTCAGGTTTTCGTAGCATCCAGGTGTAAACTGGAACTGGATTTTTTTTTTTGCTGTGTAACACCTACTCTCTCTTCTCTAATCTCATATAAAATACAGAGTTTTCTATAAATCATTGTCGCTCTGTTGTAAGCCTCAGTGCAAGAACTGCCCCTAGAGACAACTGAAGTCAAACTGAACTCTCACTTGAAAATGAAGTTACACATACAAAGACAAGTACAAAGTACACGACATAATTCTTGGAACACCTGTTTCAGTCTGGCTTGTCTGCAAGCTTTGGTCATCTTGGCATCAAAGGAAAAAAAAGTCAAAGTGAAAAGTGTAAGATTTCACGGAACACTTACAATAATCATATTTATTTCACTGTTGAATTCTTCAGTTGCTGAAAGGTTGTCATGCAGCACTATCACCATATGGCAACAACCTCAAGTCCTAGAGGCACATACTTAAAAGACCATAACATGTCAGGCCCCTTGAATAAATTAGATAGAACAATTATGCAAAATAATAATAATAATGCAATGATGAGATACATTAACAAATGAGAGTGTCAATGTTCATGAAATGCCATGAAAATAAATTCCACACATCACTGTGGTCATCATCATCATCATCAAACCACAAAGCAGGGAAAGTAAAACATCACAGTATTTACTGTGCCCTTCAGCAACAGAAATTTTAAGGGGGATACAAGGGAGGAAAGTCACTTTTACTAATGTTCAATGAAAGTATCATAAAATATCTCAAATAGAAAGACAAATAGTAGTAGCTTTAAAAGCAGCAGAACCTTTACACACACACACTCCTTATACAGACCATAAATGTTAATTTGAGAGCTCATGTACACTACACCTCATCTGTAAATAATACGAAGCATCATCTTTTAAAAAAGTAGCTCAGGTAATCTCTGATAGACCAAGCTAATTTTTAAAGTATATATATTTTTTCAGAAGTTTTTTACATATTTATTTGTCCTTGATGATCAAAAGGCATTAGACAGAAAGGGGGTGAGGGGAGGGAATCAATACCATCTGGTTTCCCCAGTCATCTCTCTAAAGGCAAAGTCTCAATTCATCCTTCTTTGCTTTTAACCCTCTACTCCCTTAAGTTTCTCCATGCAGGGGAGAGAAAATTTGAAATGCTCAAAGTAGCATATAATGACCAAATGCGTTGTAGACAGCAGAGAGTTAAATTTTACTACTCAACTTCTAAACATTTTATCGTTCCTTTAGCTGATTTTTTTTTTTTTTTTTAAACATTTCAGCAGCAAGTAACACTTCTGCTCCACACTAGAGAAAATAAAACTGGCACAAGAGGCTAGGGGATACTGCTGTGGTAGCATGCAGCCACCTTGAGAAATCCCAACACTTGGAAACAGCTGCTGTTTGGGATTAAAAAAAAGACACTTTGTAGCATTATCTCTACAAAACCTGTCTGAAAAGATGTCAATATTGATTTCAGCAATAATTTTAGCTCTGGTTCCACTTCAGTGTTCCTAGCCCTAACATAAGCTGCTGTTTCTATGGATGAAGACTTTCACTTACACTTTATGAAACTTAAATCATTCTCATTTGCAAATGTCCAATTCAACAAGATTGTCCTTGGTTTTCTAACAAACATTAAACCACAGAGAACTTGACAGACAGTACATCATTATATTAAGCTAAGGGGGGAAGGTTTGGGTTAGTTTTGGTTTTTGCTTGTTTGGGGTTTGTTTGTTAGGATTTTGAAACTTGCATTTATACTTGTGTGGAAATACCGTATGAAATGAGATGTATGCAAAATCTTGAAAAACACTGGCTTTGTTACCCACCTTGAAGGGAAAATATTCTGGAATCTACATAGAAGTTCATATACCACAAAATGAAGTAAGACGTGAACAAACCTTTTACATTTTTCCTTTGCTGAAGAAAAACTAAGAAGATTCACAGCCAAATGAAGACTACAGTTTTAAAATAATTTATTCAGTCACATAAATACTTTGTAACATTTGCATGTTCCCTTTTTCACATCCTTGGCACACAATATAGCTCTTAACTTTTACAAAACTAGTGTAAACATCCATGGAAAAGAAAATGAAAAGAAAGCGGGACGTACGTACAAATTCAATAAATAACAAAAGGAGTGAATAATTGAAGGAAAGTTAAGTAATTCTTTCCTACAAAACCCATGTAAATACAGTCAAATGTTTAATTGAAAGAACTTTCTATTTTTAAAAAATAGTGAATTAAAACTCAATTTCCATCTTTCTGCCATTTTTCATTTAATCAGATACATGATACAATTCTTTAACTAGTTAAAATTCTTGAATGGACAACAGTAATTCAATGCAATTGGATTATTTGAGGCATCAACAGTTTTGGTTCACATACAGAAGTTTACAAACCAGTATTTGCAAGTTAGTGATTTTGGACAGAATAACTTCTAAACTCCCAAACAGCCTTCCAAAAGGACACTAAGATTTTCCTTAATGGGCATTAGTGTATAATCTGTTCTTGATAAAGACGACATTAGACAGATGTTGTCTGACACCTGGGTAATGTTGAATGTGGTTGAACCAACGTGACACATTAAGGTATTTCTCCTTGTCTTGCACTGTGAGCTCCACCTGCATGGGAAGAAATACAAGGCACCAGTAATATAAGGCACTGTATCATTAGTGTCAGAACATTTGGTAAGGTACAATAAAATTGAACAGTTTTACAGCTGACTTCAAATGACATTAAAAGTTGTTACAGTCCAGCAGTATTTTATCTGAATTTCACATGTTTAATATTAACAGCCCAAATTATGTATTTACTTGTAATTTACTCAAATGAATGTATGTGTATGATTCAGATGAAAAGGGCATTAGGTCACTTGAATTTAATGCATCTATTTATGGGGTCAGCATACAACACTGGGGGGGAAAGCGTTTCACAATATGCACAAGTTTTTCACATTAATCCAGCAGGAGGTCATGCCTCACAGGCAAAGTGATTGCCTTCTATTTCAAGGTGTACTGTAAGTACAACAATAAGGTTTTTTCCAGGCAATTTCAGCACGGACAGAAAAACTGAAAGTTGTTTTCCATTTTGAGCAATACTCATACAATAGTTACTAAGAAACAGCACAGCTTAAAATTTAACTGTTCAGATGTGCTAGTTCACATTATTAAGATAGCAATGACATTATTCAAATTGCTACAGCACAACAAAAAACAGAAGCCTGTCCATACTACAGAAACATAGTTCAAGTACTATCCTTAGTCATAGAGTTTGAGGTCCTGTTGTTCACCAGTTCTCAAGTCAACAGGACAGCCACATGCTTATTTTAACCCAGATGTAAACAGCTATAAGATCAGAAAGAAACTTCCAACTATTGCACAGCTATTGCAACAGGTCCTTGCCACAGAGCTTGTGAATGAGATTAATGAAGAGCTTCAAGCCTACCTTTACATTTATCAGAAGACTGGCTCAGATAGAGTAATCTACAATTACAGACCTTAACTACACCTTTGAAATTCTTCTAAGTTCAAGTCAGAAACATCCTCTAAACTCCTCTACAAAGTCTTTGTTACTTGAGTCTTCCAAGCCAGCTGTAGAACTATTCTCATCCTGTATCACCTGCATTAATGTTTCTTGATTAGCAATTTTAGGTTCCTCTGTGACTAGGTTAGCTTATCAGTTTAGACAACAATCTGTTCCCTCCCTTTAACCTACTACAACTGAATTACAAAAGCACTAGTCCTCAAAACAGACTACAAAAATGGTATCAGGTACAAAATGTGACCTTCACTTCTACTACCCTATCTTATCTCACCAATATCTGAACCAGTAAGTGCAGGATTCATCTCACATAACTTTCAGTGAGATAAGCTAGCCATCTTGCTTATCTCAGTCATCTTGAAAACACCTGCAGTCAGTGAAGGGCACACCTGTAGAGGATAGTTTTAACAAACAAATCACCAGCTAGACATGCCTAATACTTCTCATATTGGAATTGCAAAGGTAATCAAGGTAAATCATCCCCTCCTCAACAGCTATAGAGATGGCATATTCCTTTTACCTTGTTCTACAAACACCCACTTTCATGGATAGTGCAGGGTTATTGAGAATTTGAAGAGCTACACATACTAATTGACACAGCCATACCAGTGAAAAGCTGGTGTTCAAACCTAGGTCTCACATTAAATTTCAGCTTGTGACACACCAGCCCTTTCAATTTCAAGAGCTGCCTGTAACATTTGTTGCTTCTCCTTACTGGTCTCTCATACAGCCCAAACGTTGACTTAGAATTGGAAAGCTTTAAAAATGTCAAGTAAAAAGAAAACTAAGCTACATATTAGGAAATGAACCACTGGAAAACACTACGGAAGAAGAATTTCAAGGAGCTGTGGGAAGGATTTCTAAACCAATGGCACACAGCATGAAAGCTCTATTAACAGTAAGTGAAGAGTACAGTAACTGTAGCAATAATTGAAAAGCAGAGATTTGGAAGCTGCTCCTAAACCCAAGTAGCTCTTCTTCCTATGGAACTCACCTGTCAGAACACAAGTATATCACTGTGCACTTATCTTCCCAACAAATTCTGCAAGTTTGAACTGTTAAGTACAGCAGTTCAGACAGTATGAGAAAGCACACTGTTCTTGCTGCTGGCATGGAAATGTAAACATTATTCTGACAGCTGTGCAGTCTGATGTAAATGCACAGAAAAATGAATTGAAACGCAACCACATATTTTTGCTGAGCTAGAAATGTAAGGAGTTAATCAGCATTAGACAAGTGGAAGAGAGTAACACTGGTAAGGGGAAAAAACTCCAGAATTTTTAAAGGCATTACAACCAAAAAGTGAAAGCTATTAAAATGTAACACTGAGTGCTTCACAAATTGCCTGAGCTTCTTCAAGTACAGTACATTCAAAACAAAAAAAACCTTATGCAGTACTATTTAGAAGGTTTTGATCACCTGCAGTTTATTTTAATTAACAGTAGTTAGAAGCTGATGGTGTGAAGCTGTAGAACCATTTACAAAGCAACACAGATCATTAAAAGAGCCACACGTGTAATCTAAGGCCATCTAAAATTAAGTATGAGCAGATACTAAAAAGGCTGTTACTTGAAGTTCTGTAAGTGTTATACATTTAAAGTTATAATTACAATTTCCTTTTTCAAAGGCTTTAGTAGGCAAGCACTTGCTTATGAAAATACTGATCTTCAGATTTTGCAGCAGATTAATTATTTTTTCCTCATAATTTTATACTGATAATTCTCCATCTTCACATTTCTCTGATGTAAATCAAAAGCACAGTGTGGAAAAGTAGTCCTTCTCCATTCTGTCAGCACAGTGAAAAAAAACATCCAAAGGGCAAAACAGACAGCTACTCTAATAACAAAACCCCTTTTTGTACTCTAGGCACAACAAGAAAGACTTTTTTACTTATTTACATAATGTACTCTATCAGTGAAATATATTAAAAAGCACTTTGTGGCATGCTCTACTTTTTACTTGGAACATAACTCTTAGGTTAATTGTTTAGAGATCACTTTCATGGCATTTTTTACAACATTTTGTTAGATGGGTATTTTCTGTTCTTCCTCATTAAATTAGATAATTCCCCTAAGTTAAGAAAGGCTGCTGTTCTGCTGTTAAAATAATTATTTGCTATTAAAGCAATTATTTTAATAGCAAAGAAGCAGACACTCAATATGACAGGCTTTTTATGTCACAAAATAATAAAAAAAAGCCTTGCCTTATTCTTCCATCACAAAGCTCACAAAGAGTAACTAAGGTGGTCATCATACAATGCGACTAGAAGAGTTTCTAGAAGGGCTATAAATACACAAGCTTTAATTATATTTGCTTTCAGTAGCATTGGGGATGCAGGCATAAATTCCGATTCCCACACCCTGCATGTGCATGGGAAGTCTGAAAATATCTGCCTACATCTGAAATTCTTCAACATCAAGAACAAGCTAAGATACTATCTCATTTCTAAAATTCAGCTTTTAGATATGAGGGAAAGAAAAAACAAAAACAGTTGAATAGTGTATTTCCAATTAAATGGTTATCAGAATTTTATTCACATTTGGCTCATTCAGGACAATCATGGTATGTCACTAATATTTACAGTATTCTATTACTAATGTCTGGGTTAACACGGTTGTTAGTCTATCTAAAGCAGAGAGATTAATCATAGAGGTAAGTTTTAGTCACATTTTCAGATCGATTTTCTAGACAGCTTGATGAACAGAAAGAACAGTTGGTCTCCCTTGCCCCTGTGCCTCCCATTCCTACCTCCTCTCTTGGAGGATCCTAAGAAACATTTCAGTACTTTGCACAACGCACAGCTGAAACAGGGGTGGATATGACAAACTGCTTCCCTGGACTACATAATCTTAAGTGACGCAGCAGCTTTCTCCACCCTCCCTCTTATAGCTAAAATTAAAGAAAAAAAAAAAGATTACAGGTTCTACAGTTCATTAAGTACTAATACTAACCAATTCTGAAACCTTCAGAATACATGTATTTCTAGCTAGCAGCTTCCAGATTTTCCTCTATTTGTCTATCGTTATCAGTCACCCCATTATTTGCCCTTTAAACTTTTCTGATTCAGAAAATTATCTTTCATGAAATCAAACATCTCAGAAACAGATGCTGTACTACAAACTTGTCCCAAGTAGTGTCTGGATGGTTGCAGGCACCCAGGAGCACCGAGTCATTTGTTTTTACCATCTGTTCTATTTCCCAAAGCAATAACTTGTATCTTTTCTTCTTGATTAGGTAGTCTACTCTAGAGCAAACTCTAAATTTAAAATATGCTCGATTTTCCCCTGCCTAAGTCTCTTAAAAAAATGTCACATTTGAACTCATCCTCTCTTACAGCATTTAGTCATATTTTTAGAAAGTACTTACTCATTTTTTCTATGTCTACACATATCTGTGAAAGGTAATGTATTCTGACAGTCTAGTCAGCACATCTATCCTACTACTTAAGTAGTAGTACTTTACAAGGCAAATATGATCTAAGAGAATTAATTCTAAGTGACTTACTCTACTAACATGTTTTCAAAAATCTTCTGAAATGAAGCTTCCCTTCCCTCTCCTCTGCTTGACACTGTCTCATTTGAAATTTTACTGGACAGTCAAGATACATATACATCTGTTCTTACTCATTTTTTGTGGTATTTCATTACCTGATCTTCCTCCCCCACACACTCACTTCAGCCTCCCTTTTGAGGTGCAGCATTCTTGCACTCTTCTCCCAAAGCCCTGCTTTTAATTGTGTAAAGTAACCATTCACCCAGTGGATTGAATTCACCAATTCTCAGACAAATGTGCATTAGTCAGAGGCATCTTTTCCTGATTATCCCACCCTCCCATTTTCTAATGTAAAACTGACAAAGTTTTATCTTCTATCAAGAATTTAGCAGAACTTTCTCAAGCCCCTTGGTTTGTTTAGTGGTACCCACCTCAGAGAAGGATGGCTCACTTACAATCACATTCCACCCATCAAAATACAAGTAACTTCTGCTGCTTCATCCTTACATTATCACCTGTTTTTGAAGCTTTTTTGTGGGTTTTCTTTATTTTGGATTATTTACTTCTTTTTTCTCTGTTATTTTCATACTGTCTACGTTATCAAGTCCTATCATTAAACTAACCTTGAAACAAGAATGACACTTTGTTAGAGCTGACACTTTTATATTCATTAATCCTTCATTAACTTAGTTTGTTTCATAGCAACAGCAGCATCTCTCCAATGCTAGCAACCTTCATACTTTCAGTTCTGCTACATCCTTTCAGTGTAATTTATCTATTTCCCCATGTTGTTCTGTTACCATTCATGTTTTAGCCTTGAACAGATAAGAGGCATTATACTCCAAAACACAGGCATCATCACTGTTACATTACACAGATGAAACAAAAGCATTCTGGACAGTACAGCTAATAACGTCTTTCAACACATCCATAGCTAATTATAAAAATAAATACATTTAAAAAACCCTTATTTTTTAAGTTGTTAAAGCTCTTCTAAGAAATCTCTCAATTTTTGTTCTGGAATTGTCATTGATCAATTCAGTAGGTCAACTTTTATTACAATAAACTGCCTTTTAAATAACAATGATAATACTGGTACATATAGAAATAATGCAAATAACACTTACCATGACATGATGCAATCCGTAGTACATCAAAATATCTGCTAAGGTAAAAATGTTTCCTGCAAGGTAAACTTTATCTTCCAGGTGTACATTAAGATCCTGAAACAGAAAAAGTCATTATAGTGCTGTAGTATTGACACTGTAGGACAAAATATTAAGGCAATTGTTAAAAACAATAGAAAACTTCCTCATGAGACTATGCATATAAAATAAACACCAGCTTTAATTTGTCCCAACTCAGCAAAAGAGAAAAGCATTAAAAGAAGGAAAAAAATTTAAAAAATTACAATATAATAAACTGAAATATCATCATTTTTCTGACAGCAATAATTTAAAAAAATTTCAATGTTGGTTTCTAAAAAAAGTGCTAGCCAGCTTCCTGCTGGCACACAGTTTTTCGTCATTCCCCCACTTACATTCACTCATATTTTTGTAAATACAAGTGTGATTTATTTTACAAATTAAGCTGACTCCACTGAAATACTTTCAAATCCATACTTTCTTGGCTTCAAATTACCAAAATTAAAAAATACGAGTTGTGTATTTTATTTATTTTTAACCACATACGACTCACAAGAACCCCTGTTACACATTTAACATTTGGTAAGCAGAAAATGGTCGATGGAGAGCACATTGCTTGTCCAGCAGCACCTTCTCCTGTCCTCCAGGTCTCACTCAAGGCAGCTGGTCAGCAAAGTTACGGAACTGCAAATGTCCAAAGACAAAACCAAAAAGGCATACCGGGGAGGAAGACAAATAAGGTGTTTCAAGCTCAATGCTGGAAAATCATACCCATCAGCTGATATCATTTGACACTTGCTCTTATTAATGTTGAAATCACCGCTAGTAATTCCTAATGACTGCTACTGTCAATTCAGTTGCTAAGTCCATGTGAAGAGTGCACAGCTTCAGCATTTTAAGATCATCGCTTTCAACAATTCCGTATCAGAAGCTGTAAGAGTGGATAGTAGAAGGCTTCCATTTAGGTTCCGTGAATAAATATTTCAAATCCGTACTACCAAAAAACTCAGCTTTTCCTTGGATTTAGAAACTCCCTGTTATTATTTCTCTGCTGGTTGAAAAAACTTGTAGTAAGTGTACTCCTTTTTCCTCAAGAGATCTCTGTAAGTCACCACCTTCCCCCACCCCAGAAACAGAAGTAAGCAGCTTAAACATAACTAATATGTTGAAAAATGCCCCTCAAATAATTTTTCAGTCTCAGTTACAGCTTGTGCAATTGTAAGACAATCTTTTACTTTAGGGGGCAAGGAGAAGGAGCTAGTAATTACTGAACAATTTTAAAAATACATTTAGCCTTAAGCATACTGAAATTTTTGTGGTTCCACAGTTTTACTGATACAGACTAATCCTACAGTGCATACCTAAAAAAAAACAAACAACTGAAAAAAACTGAAATGTTGAGACTTTAGGATATCAGACCATGCGTTTGAATTTTACATCATTATGCCACCTTACTATTTCTTTGAGAACCACTTCATGACAGGAATCCTGAACTTGTATATATATCCCTATCTCTGCTTGCATTTCTTTTATAAGCACAAATCAGGGAAATATATTAACCTCTGCATAGTTAAAATTCTGTAAGGTCATCTGCCCCTAGCTATGAAACTTTTCTTTAAAGTGGTTTACTGCTTGTCAAGTTAGCTCTCAAATTACTTTAAACATGTAACTACAGTTCTGCGAAATTCTATACACACCACATGCAATTCAAGGAAGAAAAAGCTTCCAGGAAGAAAAAAATATCTATAGATGTGTTGACTAAAAAAAAAATAAAATAATGAACTCTGATCAGCGTTTTTCATTTTGATTACCCAGAAAAGCAACTTGCATTATAGTGAGAAGTAACATCACTGAAATGATATCCCTGCCTCTCACCCCATTCTTTGCCTAGGCTATGGAATCAGGATTTTGTAACATAAAAAAAAGGTTCATTACCTCTGAAGGTACAATCAACACAGTTGTTCCCCTGCTCAAAATGTTGGATTTCTGCATCAAAGCACTTACGGAATGCTAATTCTTAGCTTTATATATCTTGAAGAGGTAGGCTAGTTTCTATGCAGAAATATTAATTTGCTCAGTTGTTCAGGACAGATTAATACAAAGATGGGTTAGTATCATACAAAGAATAAATTTATTTTTATAATATAGTGCACATGTATACTCAACATATTAATAAATTTTTAAAAATCCTAAAACTTAAAGGCAAGATAAGCCATTACAACATGAATAGTTAGCTATTCTGGTTCATCAAATTTTATGAAGTCAGTTCACTGAGCAAACAGAATTTGAGAAAAATGGTTTAGTCTTGGATACATTAGCATTAGTTTACAATTCCATTTTTGAATAAGTATTTTCATTACATAAAACATAAGACAGTTACTCTGATTTCATTCTGTAAGTCCAGCTAATTCAGAAACAACACAATACATTTTTTCTGCATGTGCACTAGGTACATTTAGTTAACCTTGCCTCATAGGTTATGCTTCCCATAGATGATTATATTACTGGCTAATAGCTACCTGTTTTAAAATCCTAAGAGTCAAGCTCTCTTAAGTGACCATGGTATTGAACTGTTCCTGTCCTGGAGAGACTAATGAGAATATGAATACAAAACTGTATTTGAATTTTTATTACATCCAGGAAATTCAGGTCTATTAGCTGTCATTTGTATCAGTGTCTTTCACATCCTGAATGTCACTACTTAAACTGATTGCATGTAAACAAATCCAGTAGTAAATGACTGAAATGGTCTTGGAAGTTGCTTTTAACTGTATGAACTTATTGTTGCAATTCCTCAGTAAACCCATTCTTAATTTTCAGACAGGTATTTAAGGCATAACTGAAGGTTGATGCATAAATAGGCATGAAACAACTGTAGCATTCCAACTCCATTTCTGGGTATATGGGGAAAGAAGTGATGGAAAGAAGAGATGCTGCTTTATTTATGAACAAATGGATTATTTCCTTTTGTTTGTTCTGTGGAAAAAATCCAACTTATTGCCCACATCTAGAGTAACAGCTCCACACATCCCATCCACGGCACACTTATGACTATCCCACAGTACTGCTCACTATCTCTTAAGTACGCAATATGGTTTTTTTGCAATAGTTAATCCATTAAGGCAACTGAATCCCTCCTAGCAAGTTGAGACAGAAACTCAGATAATTAAGAGTTGCCTCTTACAACGACTCAGTAACTAAAAACAGATCTAATGATGCTCTGATTGTCTTGTATATTTTGTCCACAACACCCCACTGCTGGTGTACATAGCAGAGAACAAGCACATCCTTTCAGTCAGCAATATTCTTAAGGTCATTTATGCCCTGAATGCCTTCATATCATCACACCATGCAAAGACAAAGAGCTGAGTACTCTCAAAAGCCTCAGGGAAGCCTCTGAAAATGCAGAACCCAAGAAAGGCAGAACTGTGCTGTTGGGACATAGCTGTATTTTTAATTGTAATACAAGACTTTTCCGTCTAACTGGTAAACTATGAGCTAAACTTGGTCTGGAAGGATATTATATTCAGCATACTGTATTTCTTGTAAAAGACAGAAGAAAAATAATAAAAAATGCTTCACAAATAATCAAAATTCAGTCTTTTACAGACACAAATACACTGATGCTAATAGAACAGGGAGAGAAGTGAAAACAGAAAGCTGAAGTTTAAAAAAAGCTTGCTGGACAAGCCTGCCAAAGTGGGTAGGCATTCCATTTAGAAGTCTGTCAGAAAACAGTATACAAGAACTGTGGATTAACAGCATGGACACATTTGTGGAACTATTAACTTTTCAAACAGGCACATTAAATAAGAATTGATGGTCTCTTATTCAGATTTCTTATTGGAGTGAATTATTACAGCCAGACAGCACAGGAAATTGGGCCAAAACTAGTTGAAATCATGGAACATTTTTTGTATGAGACACTGAAAGTAGTACACAAAAATTCTTGGTTATACTTAGCCTTCAGAGAATACATTTTTGAGGAAGCTTTTCTGTGAATTCAAGTACAAGCTCCCAGCTATTTAGAATATGCCTCTGAAGATGAGGTAAGGGGGAAGGAACCCTCAAGTTTTGAATACCTAAAATTGACACAGCAGAGACATTAAAATCTCCTGAATGGATTTCATTAACATCTAAGTAGATGTTTCACAGCACAAGTGTTTCAAAAACATTCTCATTCCCTACTCAGAAGGGTAGAAAGCCTACTTCGTTATCAACCACAACTCCTCAGTCATTTTCAGATTATTTTTTTTCCTATGCAGCCTCATTTACTACTAACTAAACATCAAAGAAGTAAAGGAAAACGTTATCACTGTGTAGGTAAGAAAGGTAACATAATGGACTGGATATTATGTTATCACTGGTACTGACAATCATAAATTCTACATATCTGCTGAATAACAGTCCAGAGGCATTGCTTCCATTTATTTTGTCCAATACAGGAACACGAATCAAAGTTAGACAAAACTTGAAGACCATTTTCATTGGCCAATTCTGAACAGTGTGGCAGTTGCTCTAATAAATATAAAAAACCCGGTTGAGATGGTTCAACAACTTAATGTAGTTTTTATGCCAAGTAATAGCTTTAGTCAATATATCAGTCAGAACAATTTAAGAACCTATTTCCCTAAGGCCAACGGAAAAACCTTACTGTTCAAATTAACAAATATTAAACTAGTTATTTACTGACATTTTACAGAACCACACCACCTCAGTTAATGGTTAAACAGAGGCAGCCTAAAATTTATAGCAGAAGTGACTGAACAGTTTTCGGCACAGCTTATTATAAATTGTGGCTCTAGGCTGCAACTGTCCCAAGACTGCCATTGTGTATTCCAGATAAGTTGTAAAACTACAACCTCAGACTTGCGTCTGTATTCTAGTTTTTCTTTTTTTCATGCATACTCCCTTTTGGCACAATATACTTTAAAGGTAGGCTGCTTTTTTTTCTGATTAATCATAGTGGCAAAAGAACCAATTAAAAAAAACCCCAAAACTTAATTGCTATACTATGAAATTATTAGTGCTGGAACAATTCCACAGCAGCCCTGTGTCAAAAGAAACTCTGGCTATTCAACAACTGCTAAGAAAAAAAATTATCTAGAGGAGTATTTTAAAGTGGTAATACCCATTAGAGTACACTTAAAGGCACAATTCTCCCTCAAATGACACTGACTGTTTCTCAATAAGGAAATTTTTCTTTGTTTAGAAACACTCGGTTTATCAACATACTCATATTTCAGTATATTGTATTTTCTAAATTGCCAGTGTTGCTAAGACTAAAATTAAAAGACATACCAGCTTCAGCATAAAACCATCATATCTCTGTCTCTGGTTTTAATATTCAAATGCAGTTCCACAAATACTCACTTACGTCATCCACAGCAGATGTATTTGTTGCAACAATAAAGAAAACATGCTTTTGGCTTTTATACGATAGAAGGATAAGAAACTTAAGTTACTTAATCTCATATGGTTTTCTCACAGTTTGGGAGACAATTCAAGGCCAACTAGCTTGTTTGAAAAATGACTGAAACTAGAGAATACTTGTCATAAAGGTTTTTAAAAAAATTAGACAACATGAACTGCTGAGGGTGACTTAGTCATGCTACCTGTTAAAAGGACAGTTGAAGTTAAACACTGATTAGTCAATGCCTCCTTCAATGAAGTTCTGAAAATCCCAAAGACAGTTTTTGTATGGTATCTGTAGGTGACCCTGACAACTGTAAAGGTTCTGATAGCATTTGCATGTAGAAAGTAAGACCAGAGACGTTACAAATAGAAAAGCAATGTAAACAAACTCTTGCTTAACCAATGGAAGGTATTCTAAATATACAATAGGATCAAGATAATTTTGATTATCTGGAGTGAAAGGGAGAAAAATACATACTCCATGCCAATAGTATCCCAGAGTGCATTAAGAACAGTGTGGCCAGCAGGTCGAGGGAGGTTCTCGTCCCCTTCTACTCTGCCTTACTAAGACCCCACCTGGAATACTGTGTTAAGTTCTGGGCTCTCCAGTTCAAGAGGGACAGGGATATGCTGGAAAGAATGCAACAGAGGGCCACAAGGATGATTAAGGGTCTGGAACATTTGTCATATGAGAAAAGGCTGAGACCTGGGGCTGTTCAGTCTTGAGAAAAGAAGACTGAGACAGGACCTTATTAATATATACAAAAATCTGAAGCGTGGATGTCAAGAATGGGCCAGTCTCTTTTCAGCAGTGCCCTGTGATAGGATACGGGGAAATGGCACCAAACTACAACACAGGAAGTTCCACCTCAACAGAAGGAAAAACTTCTTTACTGTGAGAATGACAGAGCACTGGATCAGGCTGTCCAGAGAGGTTGGGGAGTCTCCGTCCCTGGAGACTTTCAAGACCCATCTGGACATGTTCCTGTGTGATCTGCCCTAGGTGTTCCTGCTGCAGCAGAGGGATTCAATGATCTTCAGAGGCCCCTTCCTACCCCTACGATTCCACGATTCTGGGCTTTCACCAAGTTGATCCTTGTAAAGCAGGGATGATATTCCAAGTCCTCAAGATCAAGAAGGCTGTCAGTTTGCAAAGGACAACAGATTACCTACAAGATTTTCTTTGCACCATTTTAAGATGCAAGATTTTCCTTGATTTTAAGTAACACAATGTGTTAACCTGAATGCTGCTTCAGTTTATCTTTGGTTTCTGCAATAGCTCTAGTTGACTCAGGCTCACCACACCTAACTAAAGTCAAAAGCACTATTTAAGACTTTGCCAGACTCAAGCAAAGTCAACCTACCTAATACCCTGCAGCTCACAAAGCTTCTTCTAAACCCAGACTCTCCAGTCACACTGCATGTTGCATCATTTCCATCTAAAACATACTTTAAAAATTAGAAAAAAAATAGGCATCTTAAAAATTGTTTGAATTTCACTGCTGTTTCATGCACACTTAGTAAACAGAGCACTTAGCACTGAAGTGTAAAGCAAATCTTCTCTTCCAGCTCTGTTCCCTCAAGACTGCAGAAGTACTAATTACCAGTCACAAGGAGTAAGAAGGAAAACAGAATTAGTTTTCCTATCTACTCCCTGCCATCTGGTGGCTCAAATACCAGGGTGACCTTTGAGATTCTCTTTTTTGCTTCCACCTGTTGAAGAGGAAGCAAGCTTCAGACTACAAGAATAGTTTAATACAGTACACCAAAGCCTCCTACAAAGTAGCCTGATGTGAAGGGCAGTTTTGCAGAAGTTCCTTCAGAATTTCACTTTACACATCCAATTCTGTTCAACAAGTCCTTCTGGTATCAACACGAATTACCACAGTATCAGGTATGGTCTGTATTCCATAATTACCAAATCAATAAGAATAGCTCTTAAAACAAATTAAGCAGCGTTATCTTGAAATACAACACCAGCTGGTTTATAACTGAGGCTTTATCAAGACAGTAAGATACATGGCTAATATGAGACCAGGCAGAACAAATGATAAACCTCCTGGAACACTCTAGACAGTTAACAACATTATAGCCATAAAAACACCGTAAGATCTCTGCTTCACCTGTTTGCTTCACTCTTCCTCCTCCTCTTTCAGGTTCTTGGCGTATGTTTGTCAACAAAAATGAATGAAAGCACAATAAAACCTAGTGCTTAAAAATACTATGAAGTTTTTAGTGTTTGCTCAGCTTCATTAAGTGGTTGTTCATACACACATGAGCACTGTAATCTTCTACTCAGTCCAAAACTGAGTGGTACTCCTTACCTTCAGAATTATTCTGGTATCTTCTTTACTAGAGCTTCCACCTACACGAGTCACTCTATATTCCAACCACTGCTGAACAACAGCTTTCTCTTCTGCAGTTCTTCCAAGCAGTTGGTCTTTCTTAGCCTGTTTAACTAGGTGGGCAGCTATGGTCATTAATCCTGTCAGACCAGGACCATTGTTTGTTTGGAGAACTGGTACCTGGAAGGGGAAACAAAAGGTGTAATACTAAACAACTCATTCAAAAAGTAGTCCCTATAAGAACAGCTATTGGGGTTTTTTTGTAGCTCCTCAAAAGGATCTTTAAAGCAATATGACAGAATTTGGAACTACTCATAGTAAAGGTAATAATATTGTGTATGCACTGTCCGTTCTCTTTGAGTTTATTTTCAGTTTTTACAGACGTAGTGTATTTAACACATGCATGTGGAAACCATGACACCTTTAGCTTGAATTCTGCCAATTATTAGCAAGAAATAGTATTGCTCATTCTAACACTGCCTGAAATCTCACTAACCCTTAACTTATTTTCACATTCAGGACTCCGATTCTAGATTACAAAGCTAGTAACATCCCATTTCTCTCTGAGAAGACCACAGCAGCCAGACTTACTGAAATGCTTATTCATGCTTACTGCTCCCAAATGTTCTGACAGAAATCAGTAGTTCACTGGTATCGATACACCTCGAATTTCAACCATGTCATTATTAGTGACATTAACACTTGTTAAACAGGGGGTAAGGACACTGCACCACTGAGTCAGAACTGAATGAACTGAAGCTCATCACAACAGACTAAAGCCCATTCTGTCATCTATTACTTCAAATGATAGAAGATTAAGTGATTAAAATGCAATACTTGTTTTTTTTTAAATTTATGACCACACAGAGGAACCCACCTGTGTTCAGATTTAATAAACACAAGGTGCAAGGCAAATGCCTAATATTCCTTATACCAAGTCTTTGACTGCTGTTCAAATTTTCCATCAAATAGGCAATCAGAAAATACAGGGATAGATGCAGTTTCTTGATTTTTGAGACTTATGCTTTACAGTAATACCACTGAAATAGCAGTTGGAGTATTAAATAACAGAGGAAGCTTTTGCAACCAAAGAATGTATCTATTGATATTCAGCAGTCTAATCATAAACAGTACGTAAAGTCAAGTAAAAAAACATACAAAAACACAAGGCAACCCAACAGCTTATTTTCTCTCTTGTCCTTCTCTGAGAGAATCACATGAAGGCCCTCACACATTTGTGACATCCCCAGTGCCACATCACATTTCTCATGCCCCAGGTGCCTCTTAAACCACGGAACTTAATGTTGCCGTATGAACCTCAAAATGTCAAGACTTTAAATGAGTAAAATACTGAGGAGCAATATTTCCTCACTACAGATATATTTATGGTATTAAAACCGGGTCTTTTTTTTTTTTTTTCTTTACACCATTTAACCACCCTAGCACAGATACAACTGCGCCGGCACCAGGAAACAGCAATAAAGAGAGCAGCGCGAGAACCAGCCCCCTTTTTAAGACGACATCTCTCCAATGACACGGGCAGAGGTTTCCAGAAGGTGCGAGCGCACAGCGGGACCCCACGGCCACCGCTGCGGGCGGCGGGTGAAGGGATGACCGAGGGGGGGGAAAGGTGACGCCGCCTGCTCAGGACCAGAGGGTCGCTCAGGGCCGCGCAGCTGAGGCCGAGACACGGCCGGGGAGG